GGGCTGAAGGATCCAAATGGGAGCTGGCTGCTACAACCGTCTTTTAGACTCAGTCTAATATATATCTATATCTATCTATCTATCTATCTATCTATCTATCTATCTATCTATCTATACATACATAGATAGATAGATAGATACATACATACATACATACATACATACAATAAAAGTCAAAGTTTGTATGCGGCGGTGCGACCGGGTATGTGCCAGCTTTCTGACTGGCTGCCACTGTGGTGCTATTTGCATATGGTCTCTGATTGGCCAGCTGCAACAGGAACCCCTGGTGGAGAAAAGGGTTCATGACAGAAAGGGAGACATGAGAGAAGGAAATTTTCATATGGTCTCTGATTGGCTGGCCTCAATTCCAAGATTCCGAGATGACAAAGAGAGGAAAGGAAAAGGCCAGAGGGGGCTGAGTCAGAAAATTACCAATACAGACCAAACTTGGCACACAGAGCCCCCATGACCCACTCTACATCCCGATGCTGTCTGGAGGAGGACAGACGATGGATGATGGGACTTGCAGTACCATCACTCACATTCTGAGACCGCTGTTAACCGCATCCATTGACTGATCAGGACCAAACTTGGCACATAGACCTCTCATGACCCACTTTACGTCCTGGTGTGGTTTGGCCGGGGATGGACCATGGATTATGGGATTTGCAGTACCTTTGCTCAATTCTTGAGACCACTGCAACCCTTATCCAATTACTGATAAAGACCAAACTTGGCATACTGAGTCTCCATGACACACTCTACATCCTGGTGCAGTTTGGAGGAGGATGCACCATGGACGATGGGTCTTGCAATACCTGCACTCCCTTCCTAAGATCATTACAACTGCCAACAATGATGGATCAGGACCACAATTTACACAGAGAGCCCGCATGTGTACCTACATCCTGGTGTGGTTTGGAAGAATTTGACAATGCATGATGGGACTTGCAGTCACTTCACTCACTTCCTGAGACCACGGAGACCTTCGCCAATGACTGATCAAGACCAAACTTGGCACACAGAGTCCCCATGACCCACTCTACATCCTGGTGCACTTTCGAGGACACAGAATATGGATGATGGGACTTCAAGTACTTCCACTCCCTTCCCAAGACTGCTGCAACCCTCATCTAATGTCCGATCAAGACCAAACTTGGCACACAGAGCCCCATGACCTACTACATCCTACTGCAGTTTGGAGGAGGATGGACCATGGATGATGGGACTTGCAGTACCTTCACTCACTTTCTGAAACCACTGCGACCCTCATCCAATAATTGATCAAAACCAAACTTGGCACACAGAGCCCCCATGACCCACTCTATATCCTGCTGCTGTTTGGAGGATATAGTACCTTCAAGTACCTTCACTCACTTCCTGAAAACAATGCAACTGTCATCCAATGACCAATAAAGACCAAACTTGGCATACAGAACCGCCATTACCCACTTTCTCAAATAACCCAGGCAGCGCCGGCTCCCCAAGCTAGTATATAATAAAAGTCAGTGTATGTATGTATGTATGCGGTGGACATAGGTGTATGTGGCAGCCTTCTGGTTGGCTGCCACTGTGGTACAATTTGCATATGGTCTCTGATTGGTCAGCCAAAACATTCCAGCATTCTCAAGTGGCTGAAAGGGGAAAGGAAATTTGCATATGGTTTCTGATTGGCCAGCATCAACAGGAGCCCCTGGTGGCGCAGAGGGTTAAACCCCTGTACTGGGAGGACTGAAGACCCACAGGTTGCAGGTTCGAATCTGAGGAGAGCGCAAGCTTCTCATGTGGGGACATGAGAGAAGCTTCCCACAAGGATGGTAAAAGATCAAAACATCCTGACACCCCCTGGCCAAAGTCCTTGCAGATGGCCAATTCTCTCACACCAGAAACGGCTTGCAGTTTCTCAAGTCGCTTCTGACACACACACACACACACAAAACATTTTAACATTCTCAAGTGGATGAGAAGAGAAAGGAAAAGGCCTGAGGGATTTGCAGTACCTTCACTCACTCTACATCCTACTGCAGTTTGGAGGAGGATGGACCACGGATGATGGGACTTGCAGTACCATCACTCACTTTCTGAGACCGCTGTGACCTTCTTCCAATGACTGATCAAGACCAGACTTTGCACACAGAGCCTCATGACCCACTTTACGCCCTGGTGTGGTTTGGCCGGGGATAGACCATGGATGATGGGACTTGCAGTACCTTCGCTCAATTCCTGAGACCACTGCAACCCTCATCCAATTACTGATAAAGACCAAACTTGGCACACTGAGTTTCCATGACGCACTCTAAATCATGGTGCGGTTTGGAGGAGGATGCACCATGGACGATGGGACTTGCAATACCTGCACTCCCTTCCTGAGACCATTACAACTGCCAACAATGATGGATCAGGACCACAATTCAAACAAAGAGCCCGCATGACCCACTCTACATCCTGGTGCAGTTTGGAAGAATTTGGAGATGTATGATGGGACTTGCAGTAACTTCACTCACTTCCTGAGACCACTAAGACCCTCACCAATGACTGATCAAGACCTAACTTGGCACACAGAGCCCCCATGACCCAATCTACATCCTGGTGTACTTTTGAGGACAGACCATGGATGATGGGACTTCAAGTACCTCCACTCCCTTCTCAAGACTGCTGCAACCCTCATCTAATGACTGATCAAGACCAAACGTGGCACACAGAGAGCCCCCATGGGCAACTCAACATTCTGGTGAGGTTTGGAGGAGAACAGACTATGGATGATGGGACTTGCAGTACCATCACTCACATTCTGAGAGCACTGCGACTCTCATCCAATGACTGATCAAGACCAAACTTGGCACACAGAGCCCCCATGACCCACTCTCCATCCTGGTGGAGTTTGGAGGAGGATGGATCACAAATTATGGGACTCGCAGTACCTTCACTAACTTCCTGAGACCACTGTGAGCCATATAAATAACTGATAAAGACAAACCTTGATAAACAATTCCTTTCTCAAATAACCCGGGAAGTGCCAGGTCCCCAAGCTAGTAATAAATAAAATTATTTAATCAGCAAAGAGGACTAAAGTAAGTAACAGTATAAATCTGTGCTAAATTGAAGTTATGTGGTTGTGTGACAGACATTCAAGGGGATTCTTGTCCTTTTTTTGGGGGGGGGATAATTGTTTTTGTCTCAACTTTTTAAAAATTCCCTAAAATTAGTAGATGTATGAGTATTTAGAAAGCTGGGGGGAATGATCCCCTGTTATCTTGTGTCATTGGATGGAAAATTCAAGGAGCTAGCTCTTATAGTTTTTTAAAAAAATGTTGTTTATAAAAACTTTGAAAATTTGCTCTGGAATTTGGTGGGCTAATAGTAGTAAATGTGTTCAACCATTGTAGCAAGTTTAACTTCAATAGCTTTAAAAATGAGGGAGATAGGAGCCCCTGAAGTTTCCCAATAGTAGTAAAGCCCCCCCCTTCCCCCAGTTTTGTAAGTACCGTATATACTTGAGTATAATTTATTTATTTATTTGGTAGCTTTGTATACCAGTCTTCTCACCTCCATTCGAGGGACTCGGGCCGGTTTCCAACATCAATATTACAGACCGTCATTAAAACATCATATTTCTAAATCACACTAAAACATTAAAACATTGAAACAATTAAAATAGCAAAAATTACCCAAATGTAAGCTGAGGCACCTAATTTTACCACAAAAAACTGGGAAAACACTGACTCAAATATAAGCCGAGGGTGGGAAATGCAGCAGCTACTGGTAAATTTCAAAATAAAAATAGATACCAATAATATTACAGTAATTGAGGCATCCGTAGGTGAAATGTTTTTGAATATTTACATAAAACTGTAATGTAAGATAAGACTTTCCAACTCTGATTAAACCATTATTCTGACCTTCTTCAATGTAAATGTGCTTACGTTTCCTTCCAATAATAATAGAGTAAAATAATAAAAGTTATAATAATAATAATAAATAGTGTAAAATAATAAATGTAAAAATTATAGAGTAAAATAATACATGTAAAAATAATAACAATAATAAAGTAAAATAAATGTAATAATAATAATAGAGTAAAATAATAAATGTACTACTAGTAATAATAAATAGAGTAAAATAATAAATGTAATAAAATAATAATAGTGTAAAAAAATGTACATGTAATAATAATAAATATAGTAAAATAATAAATGTAATAAAATGATACTAATTACAGAGTAAAATAATAAATAACCTTGACTTGAGTATAAGCCTAGGGGAGCTTATTCAGCCTAAAAAAGCGGTTGAAAAACTAGGCTTATACTCGAGTATATACAGTACTTTTTTAATGGATCCTACATGCCTAATATCTAGGGATGGGAGATTCATAGGGGAAGAATGCAGACCACTACACGGTCTTGTATGATAGGGACCTTCACAAAAGCTGAAGGTGCAGCTGCAATGCAGTTTTGTCTGCTTTGTGTGATAAAGTCCACAGTGATGAAATTCATATCATGCATAAACCAATCCAATACATTGTAGCCATGTTGTGATTTTTAAACACACTGTCCAACATTATCTGCAACTGTGTTGGCCTTCTATATCGCTGAAACTTTGGACAACTCATTTCCATTTAGAGCAAAGTTAAGGAATCTCTGGATTATGGACCTAGGCTGCTAAGCTAGGGACAAAATCATGGCATCAAAGGAACAAAAAGTCAGTTGGAGTAGTGCAGCAACCATTATGTGGACAGACAGTTGACCCGCCACATTTGTAGGGTTGACTAACTATTGCAGATTTGGTTATTCCAAGCTTTGATTAAAATATTGTATCTAGGAATCTCAAGGTTCTCCAGAGGAGGAAACGGAGGAGAAAGAAGTAGTCCACAAATGGGTGCCTCATGATGCCTCTTTTCCCAAGCTTTAAGGTGAAGGGGAGGAATCTCCCTAGAGCTTAACAATTATGGGGCATTCAAATCAGGCACAAAGGGTTTAGACTTTCTCAAGATGAGAAGTGAGTTATTGTCTGACTTCCCTGTTTGCCTGTGTCACTGTGAGATAGGAGCGCCAAATGACACAGTAATAGTCTGCCTCGTCTTCTGCTAGGGCTCCTGCAATGCTTAAATAGCCAGTGTTGCTGGGTAAGTCTTTGGAGGCAGAGAAGCGAAGGGGGACCCCAGGCCCATGGTCCTTCTCTGTGTCTGATTTATATTGGAGGAGATACCTTGGGCTGCTTCCTGACTTCCGTTGGTACCAGGAGACTATGTAGTCGCTGATACTGGCACCCCTGTCCAAGGCACAAGAGACTTTCACAGTGCCGCCCAATGATACAGAGGCCAACTGAGGCTGAGACAGAACACGCTGAGCATTTGCTCCTGAGGGAGAAAAAGAGTAGAGACATTGTCACATTCAACTCTCATCAGCAGCTTTTCCATGTGTATCGAACCTTTTCTCACCTGAGCCCCACAGCATTAGCAGACTGATGATAGGAGACCAGAACATGATCAAAATAGGATAGGTGGTCCTACCAAGGGAAGGAAAAAATGCCACAACCATCGGATCGCTTCAGGTCTTGCCCTTCATATGGCTCCTGCCACTGTGGTGGGACATCTTTGCTCCACCTCCATGCTCTAATCTGATTGGTCCTGGTGATCATACAAGAATATGGTGAGGTAGGATAAAAAGCAGAGACCCAAGGTGACATAACTCCAAGGGCCAGAGCAGACATGGCTTTAGTTCCAGAAGTCAAACCAAGACGTTACTGATTATGCTTGAGAATGGTGAGCATGGCATTGAGCCAGGGCAGTAAAAGTGGTGTCTAACTGTATTAATTTTACAGTGAATAACACACTGTCGCTTCCGGCACTTCAACAGTAGGAGAGCAACCAGCTGACCAGTGCCTCTTTCCCCACTGCCGTGCACTTGGAGGGGGAGGAGGAGGAGCAAGGAAGCACAGAGCCCCTGACTATGCTTCACAGAGCCAAGGGCTCCAAGGAGCACAGTTTGAGAACCGCTGGTCTAAGTGATTTGGTTTTAGGAGATGACTTGAAGGCACACAACAACAAATCAAATCATTTATTTCGGTCATTGACCAGCACAGGAAATAGAGTCACATTTCCATACAAACCTGGCAT